AAATCTACATGTGAGGTTAAATCTGATCTAAATATTTCTTGTTGTCATTTCATGTTTCACGTTTAATCCTAATAAATCAAAGATAAAGTCAACACCATGACTGTAAACTACCTTCACTACAGCCCTTTTATATAGTCATTTGACCAATGGAAACACTGTGTTTCTACATAGGATAACAGGTTACAACATTGTAACTTTGGCAACTGTTCGTAGGCCAATCAAATGGCTTGGCGGGCCAAATTTGGCCCGCGGGCCCCACTTTGGGCTCCTCTGCTCTAGCCTCTCCGATGCCAACACCAGCTTATCCGTGCTAGTTGCTAGCTTCTTTGATACTAACGTCAGCTTATCCATGCTAGTCACTAGCCTCTCTGATGCCAACGCCAGCTTATCCATGCTAGTCACTAGCCTCTCTGATGCTAACGCCAGCTTATCCATGCTAGTTGCTAGCCTCTCCGATGCTTATACATAGTCACTAGCCACTCTGATGAAGATCAATAGCTGGGTTAGAAATAGATATAGCCTCCTGCTACAAGGATGTAGCAACCACTGGTTGAGCAGTATTCTTAATTTTGGCCCTCATACCATGCCATACTGATGTTCTTCCATGTTGGACTACAGTTTGTCACAGACCTGCAGCAGGATGTGTGTCTGCTGTTTCTATAAATTTCATTATTGTTATTTATGTCTGAAAGGATGTTCTCTGCTTCCTGTGGTGACGACCTTCCAGTCCAACCATTTCAAATTTTTAAAGTTGACACTCGTTCCAGAAACTAATCAGAATTCATCAAGAAATCCTGACAACCATTGTTCAGACGGTGGAATTTCAAAGGTCAGAGCAACCTGAAACTAATAAACGAGTTGTGAAAATGAGGCCACCCTGCTGTCATTCTGAGTTTCCTTCAACTTGTTTATCTTCAGGAAAACAAACTGGAGCCGACGAGTGGCTGAGAGGAAACTTGGCTTGAAAATCAGAAGAAATCCTAAAATCCGATGTAAATAAATGTTAATAAACTGGAGCAAAGCAACAGAAACTTACAGTTTAGTTGAACTGTTCTCTGAAAAGAAACATTTTTTTGTTTGATTCTTGCAAAAAGAAACAAACGTATTTGATAAATTCATATTTATTTCACTTTTAGGATTCAACTTCGTCCTCTGTCAGAGCTTCCTCTGTTGTGTGTTTGATAAACTGTTCTTTCTCCTGACACGGACCGTTTTCAGTTCTCCTTGGTTTAAACTCTGAGCGAGGAGCAGGAATGAATAAATCAGCGGCCGAAGAGTCGATGTGATTCATCAACGTCTGCGTCGAGGATAAACTTTAACTTTGAGACTGATTCTGAGGAGATCAGACTCGACTGTCGTCTGATTTTAATTCAGTGGAACTTTTAGATGATTTGATGGATTTTTAAATGTTTCAGTTTTCAGTTCAGACTCAGGATTGATTCAGTAATGTTTCTCAGCCCAGCTCCTGCATTTTATACAGCTTTTATTTTGAAAATCCACATTAAAACCTCTTATTTTAAAGAATGAAATCTCTCTTTTTTAACTCCTTTATTTAAAGCTTCTAATGAGGATTTATGTTGGCAGCCTGATGGATGAATAGCCTGCTGGTTCTGAATAAAAGGTTCTGATGAGGCAGAAAATCTTTTATCAGCTCCTGATTTCAGTTAAAGGATGTGATGATGATGATGATGGATCTGCACCACATGAAGTGAAAGTTTAAAAAATCATCCTGCCAACTCAGCTGGAGGAACTGTAGACTCTTTGATGGACAGACTTGTTCTGGACTTCAGGATCCAGTCAGCTTTTCTTCAGATCTTTAGCAGATTTTAAGCAGAAATTTGTCAGATCTTTAGCTAATATTTGGTAGATATTTAGCAAATGTTTAGCAGATAAATGGCAGATATTCTGCAGATCTTTAGCAGATTTTCAGCAGATATTCAGTAAATATACAGCAGACATTCAGCTCGGTTGAAGGCTTCTGGGACACAACTTGAAAAGGTTCAAATCTTTTCTCAGACACAACGAGAGCTGGTGTTTACACAACATTGTTTTAGTTTGTGAAGCGTGAAATGAAGAGAAAAACATTTTCTGCTGAAGGAGTTTGTGTTTTTCACACATCCTGCAGCTGTCAGAACTGATCAACCTGTCCTGTTGAATTATGGGTCTTTTCTCTAGAGATGATTGCATCAAAACCTGTCTGACAAACAGGTTTCCTGTGAGTGTGTGTGTGTGTGTGTGTGTG